AAACTCCAACACGCCTGGCTATAGGGTGGAGTCTGTTTTCCCTCCTCCCCCCACCCTGTTGGGGTGCACATGAAGGCTGTCAAATGCTTGACTTGATTAATGTTTGCGTTTTGATAAACAGAGCTCTAAGGTAGCAGGAACCTATTAAAGAAGGTCTTTGATTTCCTCAGTTCTCTCTGAAAGACCTGGCCTTCTCAAGCTTGTTAGTGTCATTGAAATCATTCACACATGTGTCTGCCTGGACTGTTTTGGAAATGAGCTACAACAACAACAAAAAATCTCAGGAGGGTACCTAAGTGTGTTGAAAGATGGCAGGGCCAAAACATTTATATAGATACACATTGTATATCTAAGATGAGATACTACAAATTAAGCATCATTGAAATTGCTCCTTGAAGTCAGCTTAAACGCAGTCTTACCCATTGTAGGTACTGAGTTGTCTTTTTTTTTTTTAAAGATTTATTTATTTATTAATTGAGAGGGAGAGAAAGAGCATGGACAGAGGGAGAGGCAGAGAGACTCTTCAGCAGCTACCCTGCTGAGTGTGAAGCCCGTCAAAGGGCTCAATCCCACAACTGGAGATCACGACCCGAGAGTTGAATGCTCACCTGACTGAGCCTCCCAGGCTCCCCAGTACTGAATCGTCTTGAAACTGAATGTGCCGCAGTCATCAAGAAAGTTAAAAAGATAAGCCCCTTCATTGGCCCTTGGGCAACCAACCAAAACAAAACAAAAGACCAGGTCATATCTACACTTGGACTATGGTATCTTGCTTTGTTTGCTTAACTTCAATCAAAATTGGGGCTTCCATATCCCTTCCACAAGGAGCTACTTAAATAGTGTAAAGCAGTGTACGCAGTAGAAGGATGATGTTATGGCTGAACTGTGTCTCCCTAAAGCTCCTACATTGAAGCCCCAACCCTCAGTACCTTAGAATGGGACTGCATTTGGAGACAGGGCCTCTGAGGAGGTAATTAAGTTAAAATAGGAGTCCTGAGGGTGGGCCCTCACCCAATGTGATTAGTGTCCTTATAAGTAGAGATGAAGATACACAGGAAGAGACAGACATCAGACACATGCACACACACCATCAACCATGTTAAGACATAGGGAGTGGGCAGCCATCTACAAGCTAGAGAAAGAGGCCTCAGGAGAAAACAACCCTGTTGGGAAGGAACTTCCTCAGAGGCTCCAGAGAGAGGGTGACCCTGCCGACACCTTGATCATAACCTTCCAGCCTCTAGAACTGTGAGAAAATAAATTTCTGTTGTTTAAGCCACTCAGTCTGTGGTACATGGTTACAGCAGCCAAGGCTGACTAATATAGATGATAACGGATATGATCAAATAATTTAAAATTAGGAAAGGTCTAGGGAAAAAATGTGATTATCTTAGGATACCTCTATGTCAGGTTTTCTTAAAGCAAGTTCTGTATACTACCCACATCAGAATTACCGATGATATTTTTTAAAAAGCAGGCTCTCCGGCTCCTCTGGGAGTACCAAAACGTTCTGGTTGGAGACAATCTATCTTTTCAGTAGACATCCCGAGTGGTGTTTTGTACGCTAACCTTTGAGACCCACTGTGGAAGGTGCTGTTCAACCTCTGGCCCTTCTCTGGGCCTGGCTGGTTAGTACTAAATACAGCTCAGGAGAGCGCTGGTCGGTCTGGTGCTGTGGCAGCCGCACACTGGTCCAGGAGCCAGGTACAAACCCTACTGTACAATCTTTCTATGTGTCAGCCAGTGTTTACCAGCATGTGGGGGAATCCTGAAGGGGACAGAGCAAATAGAATACATGTGCCTTACCCGTCTCACTCACTTAAAAAATATAATGATATATAAAGAAGAACCTATACAACTTGACACCAAGAAAACAAACAATCCAATTAAAAAAAAATGAGCAGGGGACATAAATAGACATTTTTCCAAAGAAGACATCCAGACTTTTAGGGACACATGAAAAGTTGCTCAACATCATGAATCATCAGGGAAATGAAAATCAAAACAACAATGAGCTAACACCTCGCACCTGTCAGAATGCCTAACATCAAAACATAAGATATAACAAGTGTTGGCGAGGATGTGGAGAAAAAGGGACTCTCAATTCATTGTTGAGAGGAATGCAAGCTGGTGCAGCCACTGTGGAAAACAGTTCCTCAAAAAACTAAAAATGGAACTACCATAGGATTCAGCAATTCCACTACTAGGTATTTACCCAAAGAAAACAAAGAAGCTAATTCAAAAAGATATACCCACCCCCATGTTTATTACAGCATTGTTCATAATAGCCCAGATATGGAAGCAACCCAAGTGTCCATCCACAGATGAATGGATAAAGAAGATGTGGGGCACGCGCGCGCACACACACACACACACACACACACACACACCACAGAGGAATATTACTCAGCCATAAAAAAGAATGAAATCTTACCATTTTCAACATGGATGGATCTAGAGGGTATAGTGCTAAGTGTAATAAATCCTCCAGAGAAAGATAAACACCATACAATTTCATTCATACATGGAATTTAAGAAACAAAGCAAAGGAACAAAGAAAAAAATATATAAACCAAGGAAAAGCTTCTTAACTATCGAGAACAAACTGGGGGTTCCTGACAGGAGGTGGGTAGGAGGATGGGTGAAATAAGTGAAAGGGACTAAGAATATGCTTATTGTGATGAATTATATATAGAATTGTTGAATCATTATATTGTGCACCTATAACTAATATAACACTTCATGTTAACTATACTTGAATTTAAAAAAAAAATATGATGGCATCTTTTGAACAACAATCTACCGTACCTATATTATTTCTCTCATGAGATTTATTTACGGACGCTATTACCTTGGTACCTAAATTCTCAAAGAAAATACAGAAGACTGGAAAGAGCATATCTAACTTTTCTATTGGTACACGTTAGTTGAAATTATATGGAAAGTTCTCTGATAGGGCCTGTGCCTTTTTATGCCCCACGTGGTTAAAATATAATATTATTGAAGGAGGTAAATAACATCTATAAATAAAAACAAATTAATAATAAATGGAAAGGAATCTAATCAATTGGTTCAGCCAGGCTCTGTGCTTTCATGCATCTCCTCACGGCCAGAGGGAATGGGAATAGAAAGCATTCTTTCATATGGCATAAAAGTGAATTCTCTTTCTTTCACCTGCAGACAAACAAGCTAATTCAAGAGAGAGAGAGAGAGAGAGAGAGATAGTTAATAGTTGAAAGTCCAAAGCAAACACAGTAACAAATATCTTCAAAACAGAATAGTTGGCATTCTGATTTATTAAACATGTTAGTTCACTAGGGACACGTAAAAACGGCCTCTGACCCCATTTACAAATTTGATGAAGGGATATAAGATTTTATGCGGTTTTTTAAAAAACTGAAATGTAGGTAGGCCATTTGAGAATGTTCAGGTGAGGTCATTGAGTTATTTGTCTGTTATCCTTATGGGGGTCAGCGTTTGAAACAGAATGCAGCTCCAGTGTCCAGGAGTGACAAGGTCTGTCCAGGGATACCTACGGCCACCACTTTTGTTACTTAATGGCACTTAATGGCAGGCGCTGCCTCAGTGCTTTTCCCTGCTCAATTAACTAAATGTCAGTGTCTCTGTGTAGACCACCCATTCCCACTGGAGGCCCCCCCCCCTTTAGGAGGATGGGGATGGGGACATGGATGGGGAATTGGAATTTTCATTAAAGTTCTGGGTGCTCTCCAGAAAGAAGAATTCTGGCACTGAAAATGAATTGATTTTAAACTCTAGACCTTAATACTCTGGGGAGGTTCAGAAGAGATGCCGTGAGAGCAACTGGGCTTCTTCGTTAGGAAAGAAAAGAGGACACCCAGCCTTCAAGGAGCCGGCTTCCCAGTCCGGGCACTAATCGGTTTGTCAGAGGAGGGAGAGCCCTAACAATGCGAACCGGCTGTGTTGGCTGAAGGGGGCTCTCGGTTTGGACCGCGGCGCTCCTCGTGTGCTGTAAGGCTCGCCGCTCGTTACCGGACCTTTCTGAGCCGCCCTCTTCCCGGGAACTGGGTTCGACGAGGTACCGCCGGCGTAGGGACCAGGCGACCCCAAGGGCCTGACCCGCGAACGAGCGGGATCCGGGACGCGGGCGGCGGCCGCGGCGCCTTCATTAGAGGGCGCTCTGGGGGCGGCTCCGCCGCAGTGTCGGCTCCCGCCGCTTCCTCCCGCCGCCCCTCCGCGCCACCCCAGCGAACGCGGCCGGGCCCGGGGGGACGAGTCTCGGCGCCGCCGGGGACCGGGCGCGGGCCGCGCCGCAGCCGGAGCGGAGTCGGCCCCGCCGCCGCCTCCTCCTTCCGCCGGCCCCGCCGCCGGCCATGCATTCTTCCGGCTCCTCTGGCTCCCGCAGCCCGGGCCGGGGCCCGGCCAGCCCGAGGTAACCTACGGCTCGGCTGGCGCAGGCCCTGGGGCTGCGGCGGCGGCGCCGGGCCCGGAGAGGTGCGGAGGGGGCGGGGAAGGAGTGTCGTCGCCGTGCGGCCCGGGGAGGCGGCGGCGGCGGCGGCATGAGGGACGAGGGCGCGGTAGGCCCCGAGGAGGAGGCGGGGGCGCGGGGCATCCGCCCGCCTCCCCGGACCCGCCCCGGTGACAGGTCCGGCCTCTGAGTCCCCGCCGTCCCTCTGTCCGCAGGCAGCCGCGAGGGGAGTAGGGCGCCCGCGCGCCCGCTCGCGCCGCGCCTCGGCAGCCGCCGCGTCCATGACCGCGACCCCTCGGCCGGGGACACCCGCCGCCGCCGCGCAGCACCGCGCCCCGGGCCGCCAGCCCCCGGCCCCGCTCGCCCCCGCGCTCCACCGCCCGCCGTCCGCACCCGCCGAGGTGAGCCCGGCGCGCGGGCCGCCCCCGCCGCCGCGACCCCTTCCCGGGGCGGCGGAAACCGCTGCGGGTGCCCCCCGTCCCCCCCCCCCCCCACTCCCCCGAGCACTGCCGTCGCCTCTTCCTTCGCGCTTCTTCCTTCACCCCTCGCTCGTCTGCCCTCTGCTCGGGGACTTCATTCTCCTCATCCGTGGACCCGGTGCCTTCACCTCCTTCTGGCTTTTGCTCCCCTCCCCCTACTCCGGTCCTTCCTCCTTTCGCCGGGTGAGCCCCTACTTTCTTCCTCTCATCTTTCTGCCCTCTTTTTAAGGCCCCTCTCCTTTTTCCCCTAAAAAAAGAGGGGGGTGGGCAAAAACCCCTTTGCCGCAAACGAACACTGTTGGCATAACTCTCTGCTAATGCTAGAGAGCTTTCTAAGGCACGACCGATGTCCAGGAATGGGGGTGGTGAGGGTACCCCGGTTCTCATAGCTGGGAAAGGGATCGGGTCCCTGCAACAGCCTTCTGTCACTCGTGTCGTCAGTTTGGGGAGACTGAGGCTGTCTGAAGCAAGTGGGTCTGTTTTTCTTCCTGAAAGTGCCCACAGCAGACTGCAGTGAGGCGCGGTGCGGGGACAGCCGCTGATTAGTTAGTGGGAATAGTATTATCATTTGCTAAATATATTATGACATACCCTGTGCCTCTGCGAACAGCTCCCTTGACCTTGTGCGGCACCTCCTCCTCGCTCTCTGTCCCCCTCTGGAATTTCCCGGAGAGATCACCGAGGTACTACACCGGGAAAGCTTAGATCCTCGGCTTTCCTGGTGTTTTTGTGCTGGAGGCGGATTTCTGTGTTGGTGACTGTTTGGATGTGTATCATCCATTTTCCTTTCTAAATGAATGTTTCTTTCACCTCAGAAAGACAGGACGGACGCCAGTGTGAGCATGGCTGTGACTTTGGAAGAAGCTCCGTGGCTGGGCTGGATCTTGGTGAAAGCCCTGATGAGGTTTGCCTTCATGGTCGCCAACAACCTGGTTGCTATTTCATCCTACATCTGCTATGTAATTATACTTCAGCCCCTTCGACTGCTGGACAGTAAGCGGTTCTGGTATATTGAAGGAATCATGTATAAATGGCTTTTAGGAATGGTGGCTTCTTGGGGATGGTATGCTGGATATACAGGTAAGAGCGTGAGAGCACTTTTGCTTAACGTGTATGAAACAATTTGTAATGTTATGCTTAAGTCAGGAGCCATGATTAAATATATATTACACTTTGGGTTGAAAGATGCTTTGCTGCTTTGGCTTGTAAAAAAAAAAAATAGAAAACAGTTCTGTTGAGTTTTTTTCAGAATCCCAATTTAGGAAGGATGATATTTTCAGATGTGTAATTTTATAGTTATATACTGATAAATCTGTTAAATAATATGTTTTTAATGTGCTTGACATTTATCAAAACCCGTTTGCCAAAACTCACCTAGAGAAATAGGAGTGGGTTATATAGGACTTGAGGGCTTGTAAAATGAAATAACATATTTAGCCCATAAATATAGTAGGAATTTAGAAGGACTGAGCCATATTTGTACTGAGATAGTTTAGTAAGTTTTTCCATTTAATGTCGTATTGTACTGTGTTAACACCTTAAGTCAAGCAAAACATGGCTTTCTTTTCTCTTACGTATGTTTCTTTTGTTTACTGGAATCTATGTTTTAATCTCATAAATCTGTATGAGACTTAAATATAAGAATTAAGTTTTATCTATGTTAATTTATATTCTGGGTGTCTTTAAGTAGATTTATATTTCTGCCTTTAAATTTCATTTTGGGGCACAGGAGTAATGCTATTCTGAAGCGGACTTTTAAAGAACTAAATGAGAAGTAGTCTTTATTTTTATTTTCTGTTTATAAGCCTTCTGTGCTTTGAGAACTTGGGCCTCTGCTGTGAAAATTCTGTGTTGTTTATTACATTTATTTGACTTTTTTCCCCTAAGAATTAAGATGATGAGAAAAAAAAAAAAAGCATTGAGGTTTCTAGCACTTGTCTTAGACATTGAGGCTTTTATCATAGAATTTTATAATTGATAGCTTCCTTAGAGACCATGCCGCAGATGCTGCGGTCAGTGGAGTCTGTAGTACATAGCTTGGAAGAGTGAGGAGGGTACGAGGCAAACAGCATGGCAGTTCCCATTTTAAATTCTCTGTCTCCTCCTTTCCTGCCCAGGCTGCATCTGTAGATTTTATCCATGCACAGAAGAAAAGGACTGACAGTGCTTAGGTTTTATGGAGTCTAACAGACTCTTGCTAGGTCAGAGTGCTCTCATTTGCCCTAGATGGAGCATTTTTTCCTTTTGGCAAAGCTGTTTGTTATTCTGCTAGACCCAAAGCTCCCAGGCTAGTGTATGCATTGCTCTGGGTCTCATTGAGACCCTGATACTCTTTGGATAGAGTAGGTGAGCTTCTAAGTCCTTTTTTAAGACCTTGTGGTGGTAGTGATAGTGGTAGAGGAAAAAAATGAAGTCTCAGCTATGATGCTGAATTCTTACCTGAGTTACACTGCTATCTTAGAATTGCTTTGCTCTGTATAGTTTAAACATCACCAAATACGGTATGTGGTACTAGTGACTTTGCTCTGCATGTAACCTACTCCTTTGCTGGTTTTAAATCAACTCACAGTATTTTTAGATAAAGTTCTAGAAGTTCATTCTACTTAAACACAATGAAATAGTGAAACGCTTGTGCTCGTGTGTGTGGTTTATTTGTGTATAGACAGTAGCATGACGAAAAGCTCAACAACATTCAGCATTGACCTTGAGACTATACTGAGTGCAGTGATGCTGCTTGAAGTTAGTTATTCTTTGGCCACAGCATGGCCGCAACGCATTTCTGAGCATATTTTCTTGCGTTGCCTTTCCCTCGCTGACTATGGAACTGCGCAGTTTTCTTTTGCCACCTGCTTGGAAAGAGGTCTTGGCGTGATCTGCATATTTTAGTCTTTCTGAAGCATCTGTTCCCTTCAGGCTACTGCATTCTGACCACTTAAATAGAGAATATTTTAGTGTTTGTATTTTAATTGGTTTTCCTATAGGTGGTGGTCATGGTCATGGCCTGATCACAAGGGAACGCAATCAAGAGGTCAAACAAATGTAGGAAAGACTTTTGTGGAAAGCCACAGCTGGGTTAAAGAAGCAACACAAGCAGGGGCTGATGAGCAGATGTATCCATGAGAGAGCCTAGAGGGTTAAATTAGCATTTGGTCTGGATTATGTGTTCCATTTCTTCCCGTTGTATCAAGAGGAAGGTGGGTTTCAGTTTTTTCCCTTCCCCTCTGCTTAAGTTTCACAGATGGAAAATTGAACATTGCCAGAGGAATTGTGCTCAGCGGATCTGGGATGTTCATGTTTTGGAATAAAAATTGCCAAACTGTTGAAAAGCCACTTCTGAGGAAAACTTAATTAATTAAATGTTAATTGGGAAGCTGAAAATTGAATATTGATATTGAATATCATTTTTTCAAATCGTGATATTCAGTCTGAGACAAGTCAGTTAGCCAGTTCTGCTGCTTACGTTGATTCTCTAATCTATGCTCCCCCATATGGTAGGTACTTAGCCAAATGCTGTTGTTTAAATTTTAATTAATTAAAATGAAATAAAATTGAAAATACACTTACTCAGTTGCACCAGCCACCTTTCAAGTGCTCGGTCCTGGGTGGCTAGTGGCTATTGTACTGGAGAGCACAGACACAGAACGCTTGCATTGCCACAGAAAGTTCTATTGGGCAAGTCTAACAAATAGTATGCCTTTCTCCTTTTTCTTCAGAAAATGGACTTTATCTTTATAAAAAGGATATTTTTCTAAACACGTTTCTCTTGGGAAGACAGGAAGGTTTATTAAAGCTTTTTTAAAAAATTGTCTTTTATAAAATGTCACAAAAATGAGTCCTATAAACTCAGACTTGCTTCTTGGATGGCGAATGGTGAGGCTAGTCAGCCCAAGACCTTGAATGAATATTCTTATACTTGGTGTTTTCAGAGCTGGAGTACTGCCTGTGGACCTAGAACATGGAGAAAGGACTTTTCTGGTCTTGCTGCCTGTTTGTGACTTTCCAGGGGAACACAATTTTTGAAAGAATTCTGGTGACATTGGGGTTTTCATCTCTAGCTTGCTACTAGGTAATGGTGATTGCTGCTGCCACATTTCCTTTCATGGCAAGTGTTGTACAGACATCTCATGTTGAGGAAAATTTGTGTACTGCCTTTGCCCTAATATTTCAGAGAGCAAACCAAAAGACATATAACGTAATTAATGATCCATTTCTGCATGTTTTATTCAGATCTGGGATAAATCATTACACTTTTCTCCCCTCAACTGAAGTGAGGACTGGCAAATTTCAGAGAGAGTTTTTCTTTTGTTTGTTTGTTTTTTTTTTTTTTTTTAAGTAAAATGTGTTTCAAATAGTTTATTTTGATTTTCATTCACTTATCTTAATAAATTCATTGTTCCTCATCCAAACACATTTCATTAAAGTCTCTTACACAGAATCATTAAAAAAAAAATTCATTGTAAGTGGAAGCTCCAGAATTTCTATATAGGATAAGAGTCTTTTGGGCCATAGTCTGGCTGGAAAGGAGCTGGGGTGTCAGGAGGCTTGCCACTAGGTTGTTTTTGCCTAGCAAATGCTCTCTGCCTTGGATTGATGGCTTTAGGGAAAGCTGACAGAGATAGGTTTAGCTTCCTCCCATTCCCCAAGTGGCAGCCGTCATGACTCTGTTAGTCTTGTCGGTTATTTGAGTCTCTGATAGTGTCTTATTTATTTATTAGTGTTGTGGTACAAATTCATTGCATGAGAAAAACTATTAGGAATTATATCTAATGTTGAAATTCTAGAGAAAGTTTTAAAAATATATCTCCTAGAGCAGTATTTTTCCACTTTTGAGTCATAAGCCATTTAGTGTCGGGCTGAACATTTAAAAAAAAAAAAGTGAAATAGAATAGAGTGAAGATGAAAAGATCATTCGTGTGTGTATCTACCAGGGAGTGCTACGGAATGGGTTTTTTACTGTGAGCCCTCTCAACATTTGAAAGGCATTGTTCTAGTGGAAAGAGCACTGCAGTATAGAACTGGGAGTTGCATGGTTTAATCTGGTTTTAACTTTAACATCTCTGCTCCCTAGTGGGGGGTGAGATCCTCAGCTGCTAGGTGCCCATGAGGCTGGGAGCTCTTTACAGATGGTAATGTGGTCTTTATAACCCTAGAGCCTAGTCTGTTGCCTGAAGCTCTCCGAGGGCCCCTTATGTGTTTCTTGAATGATTGCTTTTTTCTTTCTTGGTCCTAGCTGAGGTGCCTTGGGTGCCTACCTTCCTGAAACATCAGAGAGCAAGGGCACTGCAGTCCGCAGAACACAGACCCTGAACTGGATGGTGTTTTTCACACATACAAATATATGCATATGTATCCATTTCCTATGGTATCACATTTGTTAATTTAACACACCTTTATTGAGCTTCTGTTATGTGTGGGAACAGGTGTCGTGGAGGTTCTGAGGTGCACAAGACATAGAGGCTGTCTCTAAGGAGTTCGCAGACGACTTGGTGGGGAAGTCGGTACACCAACAGCACAAACATCCTGGTAGAATACTCGCATAGACATGTACCATGGGATTAAAGAGGAAGGGCTCCTGATCTCACATCAGTGGTAGGTGGTAGCCGACAGGGAATAGGGAATTTAGGGACTGAATGGCTGTAAATGCCTTTTTTTTTCCCCCATTAGGTAGATACTTCTCTGTTGGGCTAACTGGATAATCGGTAATTATAATAGATTTAAAAGACTTTTGCATAATATGTCAGTTTAAACTCTGGATCTTCATGATGGTAATAGGAGCTAAGTATAAGCCAGGCAGGGTCCCGAAGATTTCAGGCACTAAATGCTCACAACAGGCTTACCAGGTTGGTGTAATAACAATACCTTCCTTTTGTTATTGGTTTTGAAATTCAAACACTGAGCGTCACAGTTAACTTCTTGAGCACTGAGTTGATGTTGCCACAGGCAGAGTCATTATTGACCTTTATATAATATTCCTAGAGTCTCTTCATCTTCCTTACCCATATTGCCCTTTTGTTTCTGAGACATGAAATCTCTTTCCAAAACTACAACACCTGAAAACAATGTCATAGCTAGGGATTTCT